TTCAACAAGGCCAAATGCCGGGTCCTGCACTTCGGCCACAACAACCCCAGGCGACGCTACAGGCTTGGGGCGGTGTGGCTGGAGGACTGCGTAGAGGAAATGGACCTGGGGGTATTGATTGATGCTGGGCTGAACATGAGCTGACAGTGTGCCCAGGTGGCCAAGAAGGCCAATGGCATCCTGGCCTGCATCAGAAACAGTGTTGTGAGCAGGAGCAGAGAGGTGATTGTTCCCCTGTATTCAGCACTGGTGAGGCTGCACCTCGAGTACTGTGTCCAGTTTTGGGCCCCTCACTGCAAGAAAGATATTGAGGCCCTGGAACGTGTTCAAAGGAGGGCAACAAAGCTGGTGAGGGGTCTGGAACACAGGCCATATGAGGAGAGGCTGAAGGAGCTGGGAATGTTCAGCCTGGAGAAGAGGAGGCTCAGGGGAGACCTCATTGCTCTCTATAACTTCCTGAAGGGAGGTTGTAGTGAGCTGGGGGTCGGCCTCTTCTCTCGTGTCATCAGTGATAGGACCAGGGGGAATGGTTTCAAGCTACGGCAGGGGAGATTCAGGCTGGACATGAGGAAGTATTACTTTTCAGAAAGGGTGGTCAGGCACTGGAATGGATGCCCAGGGAGGTGGTGGAATCACCGAGCCTGGGGGTGTTCAAGGAAAGGCTGGATGTTGTGTTGAGGGACATGGTTTAGTAGGAGCTATTGGCAATAGGTGAGCAGTTGGACTGGATGATCTTGAAGGTCTTTTCCAACCTTGGTGATTCTATGATTCTATGATCTCATACAGATGATTGAGCCCTAAGGGTGGGATGCAACTGCTCCTGGTGTGTCTTCTCAGGAACTGCAGTGGCTTGCTGCTCAACTCAAAGGATTTTTGGAATTTAGAACTTGGAGCTGTTATAACTATCTTGGCGATAGAAGCAATTGAAATACTTAGATGACAATTTTTCAAGGCAGCTTGCTAGATCCTCATTAGCATTAGCATTACAACACCTGGATGGTCTCTAAAAAAGTGCTTTTCTTCACATATCAATTGCTAAAAACCTGTTGTAAACTTGTGCATGCTGTGGCTGGGGCACTTTGCCCTCACATGATAAGCTCTGTGATACACACTTTGGTGCTTTTCTGTTTCTTGCTTTTCCTGGATTACAGCTGTCTCCAGCCCTCAGAAGCTCACAGGACCAAATGCCTCACCATGGCTATTGCAGACATCTTGTGGCGTGCAGGAAGCAATGAGAAAGCAGTTGTGGCACTGTAAGTAGGAGGAGCAGCTTCAGTTACGTGATGCTCTTATAGTTGTGTCTGTTAAGTATGTATGGAGTTCACAAAATGGAAGCTCATAAAGATCACAGAATCATCAAATGGTTTCAGTTGGATGGGATCTCTAAAGGGCATCTGGTCCAAATCCCTGCAGTGCACAGGGATGCCCACAGCTCCATCAGTGCTCCTTTGACTGTGGGTGTTTGCAGGGATGGGGCACCACCGCCTCTCAGCGCAACCTGTGCAGTGCCTCACTGCCCTCAGTGTATGAAATTCTTCCTTACATCCACCTGAATCTCCCCTCTTTTAGATTGAAGCCATTTTCCCTTGTCCTATCACGCAGACTCTCCTATAGAGTCTTTCCCCTTCCTTCTTACAGCCCCTTCAGATACTGAAGGCTGCTCTCAGCTCTCCCTGCAGCCTTCCCCCCTCCACCTGCACAGCCCCAGCTCTCATCCTCTCCTCATTTCATTGTTCCATCCCTGGGATCATTTCTGTGGTCCTCAAAATGTATTCATGCAGCGTGAAATGGATGAGGAAGAAATGCAAGAGGCCATTTTTGCTGTTCCAATAGCTACTGAAGGGAGTTACTGAATCCTGCAATATATTTATGATTTTGTGAGAAGAGATCATTTATTTTATTAGAACAACTAAGACTGATGATAAAGTGAGAGCAGACAGCCTTCTGGAGGCTTCTGGGCACTGAAGCTCTTCAAACCTGAAACAGAAGCCAGCAAATTCAGAGACATTTCCAGTGATATTTTGAGTGTTTTCTGCCTATAAAATATTTCCTCTGATGCTACTCTACATCTGTTCTGCTGCTTCTCTTTTAATGTCACTGCTCTCATATTCCTTCCCAACAAAAATTGGCGTTAATATCTTCAACCTACATTTATCCTCCTTCTTGACAGAGAAACTTGTAATTTATATTAAATAGAGGGAGCACAGCTAAAGATGTTTCATCAATAAAAGTTCACGGAATGCCCAACATGCACTCATTTTGCATAAGGCTGTCTTTAAAAAAGCCAAAAATTAGTCACTGAAGTAATAATACCAAATCTTTGGTTTGTGATTCAGTTCATGTAAGGTTTTGGTTTCTCTGTAATGTGATTTTGGTCCTTTTAACATGAACTTTGGTTTTGTTTGCATGTTCTCTTTAGGCCGTCAGGAAGACAGCAGTTCACTCCCATAGGAAAATATAAGGCAGATGGAATCTTAGAAACTGTAAGGCTCTGTGTAACTCGTGCTCACATTTTCCCTATATCCTTTTTGTAGCTTTTCTTGCTTTAGTACAATCAATCCCATTTCTGTGTATCCCTTAAGTGTTTTAAAACCTCTAATATTACAGTAGCCAGTTGTGATCTAAAAACCAATAGGAAATCATAGAACCTTGTAGTTTATCTGGCTCTGAACCATCCCACTGCCTGGGGACAGCTGGGCTCTCTGAAGTCCTTTTTGGTGCATCTACCTTCCAAGCTTGTAAACTCTGCCTAATTTTGCTGGTATGCAGTAAAAATTGAAAGTGGATCCATGAACATCAAGAGACAGTATTTTCTTCTCGTGTTTTATACAGAATTCCTTGCTTTTTTTTCCCCCCCAGTTGCTCCAAATGGCAAAATACTTTCCAGTAGTGTCTTTGTTTCCATCTGAAGCCTTCAAATGGCTTTGTAAACATTGATGACACAAGCCAGGCTTCAGTGGCTTAAGGAAATATTACTGGCCTCCTAAATGGAGGAGCAAAGGTACCAGCTCCATTTCAGAGCCAGTTTTGAAACAACTGGAAGTGAAAACCTGATGCAGCACAAAACCTCAGCTATAATGTGCTCTTACAAAAGAAAAGCAGTATTCTTTAATACATTAAAATGATCTTGAGCTGCTGGTCATTTCAGAGTGCAGATAATAGCATGGTGCTGCATCAAAATACTGCTTATCAAAGCTCATGTGGGCACTGCCAGGGTGAAATAGTGGTGGAAAGGGAACTCCAGATATAGCCATGGATATGGTCAGCCATGTACCATGGAATCACAGAGTGGCTTAGGTTGGAAGGTACCTTATGGATCCCTGAGCTCCAGCCTCAGCTGTGGGCAGGGCTGCCAACCCTATTTCATCTTTACTGCATAAATCCATCATTGCTGACAAAATGGGAAGATGCAAAAACAAAGAGCTTGGAAGGAAGGGCTGGGAGCTGTAAACTCTCCTGAAGTTCATGTGATGTTTGAGTATTCGTGGGGGTATTCTCTTATTCTCTGAGCAATAAGAAGGGCTCTGATAGAGATCTGCTATAGACAGCTCACCCCGTGGGTACAGCCTCCTGCTGCTTCTGAGGCTTCATGGTTGTTCTAAGAATCATTTTGCATTGCATGGAATTGAAGCAAGCTGATGGCTTGAGAACTTAAAAACAGCAAGAGGCAGCATTTAGCCACCATACAGCATTTAACCAAGTCACAGCAGTAAGAGGTAGACTTCCTTAGATTTTTATAGCACTTTATGTTAGTTGCAAACCTTCTAGTCAGATCTAAAGTTTTGCCTGCTTTCCCTCAGCTGTTGTGTTTCAGAGTGAATTGCTCTTATTTCAGATGTTTGTTTTTTCTTCTGTTTCCTCCCAGCTAATCCTGCATAGTGCCACAAGATATGAGGATCTGATTGTACTTCTTCAGCAGAATATTCACCAGGTATCACGTGTTCAGCTGCCAGTCTTCATGTATTTAACAATCTCGTGATGGCTTCTGAATGTAATTTCTAACACCGTTTCTGTCAGCCAACTGAAGGTAGAACCATAGAATCATAGAACCACCAATGTTGGAGAAGACCTCCAAGATCATCCTGTCCAACCATCCACCAGTCACCAATAGTTCCTACTAAACCACGTCCCTCACTGCAACATCTGAACATTTCTTGAACACCTCCAGGGCCAATGACTCCACCACCTCCCTGTGCAGCCCATTCCAGTACCTCACCACTCCTTCTGAGAAGAAATTGTTCCTAATATCCAACTTGAACATCCCCTGGTGCAATCTGAGGCCTTTCATTCTCATCGTGTCACTAGTTACACAGGAGAAGAGATCGATCCCCCCCTCCTTTCAGGCAGTTGTAGAGAACAATAATGTCTCCCCAGCACAGATCTCACATTTTAACAAGTAGAGCAAAAAAGAAAAGCGATTTTAGCATAAGTGAAAACCGTTCTTTCCACTTTCAGTTTGATTCACGTTTCTCTAGGATTGGAATCAAGCAACAAAGTAAATACAATTCTTTCTTTTTCAGTTTGAAATTGGTCCCTGTGGGTGCATCCTTCTGACCGTGTCCGTCATCTTATCGAGATCCATCAATCTGTGAGTGCCTTTGTATCTAATTTCATTAACTGCAAAGAAACTGAGACGTGCAAAGTGAAAAAGCAGCCACGGTGTACTTAAATCTCTGTCTTTTTTCAGTGTCTTGCTGTTTATTCTGATAAACACACAGACGTTACAGTTGTGATTTGCACAGTTAATCTTGGCTTTTGCTGTTGTGAGTTTGAGATCAGACTTCGGATAGATCTTTATTGTGACTCCAGTATGGAGGGAATTAGGGACACAGGGCATAAACACGAGGGAAGGAGAAAATGTGTCTATCAGCTCATCTACTCTTGTCTTCTGCTATCAGAGTGATATTTTACAGGAACAAAGCTTATCCCATGCCACTTTAACGATGGAAGATTTTATTTTTTTGCCACTGATCCTCTAAAATCTCTTTAAGAATCTCACTATTAATGAGTAGAAATTGTTTCAATGCCACGTTCAGTTTCTCCATGACTAAATTTATGTCCTCTTTGCTGTTCAGACAGCATCTCTGCAAATTATTTTTCCACATCCTGCTGTTCTTGTCAACACAGGAACAGCCACATTTGGTCAGACTGAAGGTCCATCTGCCCAACAGCCCATGGTAGTTGCATATAAAAAAGATTATGAGTAACAGGAGGAGCATAGAGGGATCTCTACTACCTGTGACATTTCTGCCTATGTGCTTACCTTTGGTAATTTCCTTTCTTTTTCAAGTTTGAATGAACACAGCTCTGGAATTGCTTGTCAGTCTACAAATGGGTTGCATGTGATGATTAGTGCTCTCCCCTCTTTAGCAGAGCATCTTTTTGTCTGATATACTGCAGTACTGTTTAACTTCTTGCTGCCCTGAAATCTACAAAGAATTGTTGCTCTTATTTCTTCTCTACAATGTCCAGATAATGTTTTTTGCTTCTGCCAAACCAAATGTTAATCAGTGAAGCTGAAACAGTGTTTTTTCCTGTCCCTTATGCTTCTTACATACTGTCTTGAATGAGTTCTGTCAAGAAAATGTTGTGCACAGAACGAATCCATTCAGATTACAGAATGGACTGGTGCTTCCAGATGTTATCTGTTCTAACGTTTCTCCACACCACAGTCATAAACAGCAGACTTCAGAGATCTTTAATATTTTCCTCTTCATCCATTCAGGAAACAACATGATTGATGGGGCCCTGGACAGTCTGATCTGATGGTTGGCAGCCCTGCCCACAGCAAGGGGGGGTTGGAAATCCATGATCTTGGAGGCCCCTTCCAACACAACCATTCTACGATTCTATGATTCAGAATCACAGAATCACAGAATCACAGAATCACCCGGGTTGGAAGGGACCCCAAGGATCATGTAGTTCCAACCCCCCTGCCTAGCAGGGCCACCAAACATACACATTCAGATCAGGTTGCCCAGGACCCCGTCCAACCTGGCCTTAAACACGTCCAAGGACGGGGCATCCACAACCTCCCTGGGCAGCCCGTTCCAGGGCCTAACCACTCTCCTAGTAAAGAACTTCCCCCTAACATCCAACCTAAATCTTCCCTCCTTCAACTTAAAACCATTTCCCCTAGTCCTGCTGTTGTCAGCCCTTTTGAAGAGTTTACTCCCCTCCTGGGTGTAGGTTCCCTTCAGGTATTGATAGGCTGCAATGAGGTCACCC